AAACCAGCCAACTAGTAATCAACATTATCGGTCATTAAGACTGTATTATCTGTATTAGAATGAAGAATAGAGATCTCTTATCACATTTGATACTTCCCTTCAAAACAGGTTATAGCTTTAGATACATTATGGTCTTAGGTAAATTATACGTTTTTCACCTTTGTTTCAAATCAACACATCAACTATTGTCTATTATACAAGAAACATCAGCAGAATCTGGGCTGGTCTCTCAATGTGAACTATATTCATGCCACTTGAATAACATTCCCAATAAAATTGGTTTTAGTTTTATTTAAAAAAATTTATTACACTTTCAGGAAAGAAAAAATACTGTTAAATTAGATTATAAGGATTCACCCAAATCCAAACTATTCACTGTAATTCATAGGGATATCTAATTCAACCATTGAAAAAGTAACAGAACAAAAGGAATAGAACATTTTACTTTTAAATTCAGTATAAATAATAATTTATCACAATTCATTTAAAAGAAAATTGCTAACAGTGAAATCCAGAAAGTTCTTGACTTAAATAACAATCCTAGAAATTCAACTGATAGTTATTTATTTCTGGGATACAAACTGTACACGTTACCACACAATTATTTTTCACAGTGTTAAGAATAAATAGGCTCTATTAGCAAAGGTTCAAATAAAACAAATAAAGTCATTAAAAATTTAAAAACCGGTAAAAAATTTACTCATTTCGGTTCATACTGTTCATTCAGAATATTTTCCTTTTTGTCAATCAGTGGAATTCATTACATACTAAAAATAACACCATATTTATGCACAAATAAATTTATTTTCCCAGTAAGAGCTAATTTTCCTTTAAGGAGATTTCCTACATATTCACAGTACATAATATCACAGAACACCCATATTTGGCCTAAATGTCTCTGAATTGTAGCATTACAAGATGGAAGTTCATTGTGCCTGATAATGCGATTGAGTTTTGCCCAAATGTCTTCCAGAGTTTGGTTGTTACAAATAGTGTGTTCTATTGTCCATCTTGCTCTATAAAATGAGTGTAAATTTAGTGCCTTTAAACTATCTTGCAATTTTTCAGACAAAGGAAAAATATTTTCAGTACTATTACTGCTGGGAAGTGAAACACTCCAAGACCTCTTCTTTTGCCGCTTTCCCTCTTCTGATTGTTTTTCCAGATTTCCAGAGATAGTCTGTTCATTCAGTGTGTGTGACTGGATTAAGTGCTGCTTTTCTTTTAAATTAGGTTGAAACTCCAAGAGATCTACTGTGCAATCATAACTCTGTGATTTAACAGCATGTTCTGCAATGGTTAAGTACTGTTTCACAACATCAGTTGCCTCTTCAGAAATCACAGGTGGTGATCTTTTTGGCTTGAGTGGGAGTTTGAACCCATCATGTGGAAACCAAGGAATAAATCTCGATAGTGGACGTGTAGGAAAGTCTTGAATTGCTTTCTCTGCAATTTTTAGCAGTTGTGTGGGATCACTCTCGTATGGTCGATAATGTAATATTACTTCTGTAGTCATTCTGCAGTAATCCAGTCACTCTTAATGAAGATAAAATTTCTTAGCTGAGCTCCTCAGAGCTAGAATGTAATTTATAATGACAAGACTGTCTCTCTTTCCAAATCAGAGGGAAACAGGACCTAAAGTGAAAGTATTGCAAAGAATAAGATATGGTAGGGACAGCCTACATACAAATAGGCCGAGAGAAAAGGAAAAACAAAAACCAATCCCAATACTATTTTACCTAAGTGTTATTGGTAAATGTGAATGTAATCCACAAAATTGGAAATCCTTTCTCTCACCAAAATAAGCGATCTGGATTAGATGCTCTAAAAGATCACTTCTAGCATTTTTAGGTAATAATAATCTTAAGATCATACCATAAACAAAGCAAATTAGTGATTCTTAAAAGGTTAGATTTATATAAAGATAACAAAAATGAAATAGTTCTTAAAATTTTAAGATATCTCAGCAGTAAACAGTAAAAACATGAAAATTATTTAACTTTGCATCTTAACCATGCTAGGAACTGGTTTTGTGACAGTCTCCTCTGTATAATTGGGGACATAAGCAATTTCAAGATCTTAGTATCATCGCTCCTGAATTCCAGTTTGGAGGAGGAACAAGGATAGGTCCTTATTTTTTTTTCCTGTTAGAACAGAGAAGTCCTCAAGTTGCCCCAAATTAACTCATTGATAATAAGTTCCAGCATATAGTACACAAGGTCAAGAATGGAGCCTTCGAGGATCTGTAAGTTAGGCTTACTGACCAGGTCCAAAGCTGCAGGAGTAATAGTACAGGTTCTTCCATATCCTTACTGTGCAAAAAGAGGTTGAATCCCTTTTCCCCCAAATCATTAGAAAACTCCTTGACGAGGGTTTTTCCACTGCAAAGATGACAGTGGTGGGGACTCCTGGCATGATGTCACAATACTCATTTGTCCACTGATTCTGAAGAAGTAATCTCATAATGATTCTTTTCACCTACTATTAATGTCCACTGACTAACAGATTTGATGACTCTTAAATTCATAAATAACTGTGATCCTTAATATCCATAATTTTTAATATGGATCTAAATATAGTTAGCACATTCTTTCAAGAATTAATGCTGTTATTTTTTTCTTTCTTCTTTCTTACACTTTCACGTCGTAAGGTATGGCACTGAGAATTCTTTCACTGCTGTCTCAACTTATTCAGTGTTGTACTCCAGAGATACTGAAGTTGTGAGAGCTCCTTAATATTTTACATATCTAAGAAAGTAAACTTAAATGACCATATAAATTGATATATTTGGCATCCAATAGCAGTAAAATTAAAACTTGTGAAATTTTGATTAGGACATTGGAGAATAATAATACCAAATAACTTTAATAAAGCTGAAACTATTAGTGAATTTCAAAGCACCTGTCCTTTAG